TCTGAGCCAGGTGGCCTCTTGTAATAGTCTATCACACCAATGTGATATGCCATGTGTTGTTTGTGGTTTTTTTTTAATGAAATTTTAAAATAGATTAAAAATTCATGAGAAAGTCAAGTTTTTGAAAAGTTGAAGCATATATTCAGAACAATGTAGCATGAAGGATATAAGTTAAATACCATGAAAAGTTTCCTAGCAGAGGGAAGTATAATTAAAGTTAATTTCCCACTTACAGACAGTCACCATAGTCCCTACCTTATTTATGCTCATCCATGTTTGGAGCCCCCAAATGCTATGAAAACTTCTGTGGAAAATAAAGGAACTTTAGAAACTTCAGAAGTTTATAAATGGACAATAGGAAGAATATGAGGAAAGGTAGCATAGTCTATGGGTAGAGTTGCCTTGCCTATGTGATTTCCATCCCCCTAGAAACTCTGTCCAAAAATACCTTCCATAATAATTTTTAATTCACCTTCTGACTCTCTGAGAATTGGTCCCACAGTGGAGAATGCTATAATTCCTCCACAATTGCCAAAAGCTGAACATTGGGAAAAGGGGAGGTGCACACTGAAATCCCTTTGGTGGTATCATTTGTCCAAGAGCTATGTGAATCATTAAGCAAAGATATACTTTCTATGTTGTAGTGAAGAGGTGAGTATGAGGCCAAACAAAATGGATTAATAGGCCCAGAAATGTGGAAAAGGCGAGCTTGTGTAATATAGTAATAGAACACGGTGGAATGAAACAGTGGGATAAAGGTCAGAAATCAATTATCATTTAGACAGAAGGAAGGGCAGATATCGGTATCAAAGTAAGGTTGAAAGTAGTGCCAAAGAAACTATAGTAATGTGTTGAAATCATTTGCTGGGGATCATCTACTGATTTTTAAACTGAAAGAAATTAGACTATTTTTGTGGAAGAATTTGATGACAGAAGTCTTGGGTTCAGGTGTTGCTATATCATTTACTACCTCTCTGAATTTGGGCAAGTCATATAAGGTTTCTGCTCTTGGAAAGCCTGTTGTGGCTGTGGATGGTGGATGATCTTGGATTTACTGAGGATCTTCTGATCTTCCTTATTTCCTGCTTCAGTGTGGAACAAACTTTTTAAAACCCTTCTGATCAGTAGCCAAGATGGCGGAGTAAAAGCAGTGACTTGCTTGAGCTCTCCCCCCAAACCCCTCCAAATACCTGTAAAAAATGGCTCTAAAATTCTAAAGCAGCAGAACCCACAAAAAGAGTGAAACAAATTTCCAGCCCAAGACAACCTGGATGGTTGATCAGAAAGGTATATCATGCCGGGCTGGGAGAGGAACACAGTTCAGCATGGGTGTGCAGGCCTCAACTAACCTGGAGCAGGCCTCAGAGGACTGAATCTCGGGCAGCTGTGGAGGTTTCCAGTCTCCTCAATCCACCAATGCCAAAGACAACTTAGAAGGTCAGTGGGAAAAGTCTGTTTCTGTCAGTGCTGAGAAAGGAAGGCCGGGTCTCAGCTCCATTCTCCAAGAGCGTGGCCCTGGGTGGGGCAGGCAGCTGCTTCCTGAGCTTCCAGCTCACAGACTAAGGGGGAATCCAGTGGCTGATCAGAGAGGGATTGCAGGGATCTCTTTGGCAGTGGTGAGGGCAGGAATCTCTTGCTTTGCCCGTGTTTGGATCTGGGCCACAGTTCTGGGTGGTGGTGCTGGGGTGAGGAGGAGTGCTGGCTTGATGAAGCTTGTAGTGGCTGTGAAGAGAAACCCCTTCTCACAGTTACAGGACAGAAAGAAGTACTTGTAGTCACAGGCCAGGAAAGGAGTAAACACCTCACCCCTTATCATACCACCTTGGAAGAACTGAAAATTTACAGGTCCCTACAAGTATCTCTGAAAACAGCTGTATAAACCCCAGAAGCTTGGGACAGTACATTCTCTACAACGGAATCAGACTCTTACCTTAACAAAGAATTTAAAACTTAAGTAATTGGTCGGGGTCATGAGCAAGCAGCACAAAAAGAGTCAGACTATATTATCTTACTTTGGTGACAAAGAAGATCAAAACATACAACCAGAAGAAGACAACAAAGTCAAAGTTCCTACATCCAAAGCCTCCAAGAAAAATATGAATTGGTCACAGGCCACAGAAGAGCTCAAAAAGGATTTTGAGAAGCAAATAAGAGAAGTAGAGGAAAAACTAGGAAGAGAAATGAGTGATGCAAGAAAATCATGAAAAACAAGTCAATGGCTTGCTGAAGGAGACCCAAAAAAATGCTGAAGAAACTAACACCTTAAAAAATAGCCTAACCCAAATGGCAAAAGAGGTCCAAAAAGCCAATGAGGAGAAGAATGCCCTCAAAAGCAAAATTGGCCAAATGGAAAAGGAAGTCCAAAAGATTACTGAAGAAAATACTTCCTTAAAAATTACAATGGAGCAATTAGAAGCTAGTGACTTTATGAGATATCAAGACATTGTAAAACAAATTCAAAAGAATAAATAGAAAACAATGTGAAATATTTCATTGGAAAAACAACTGACCTGGAAAATAGATCCAGGAGAGATAATTTTAAAATTATTGGACTATCTGAAAGCCATGATCAAAAAAAGAGCCTAGACATCATCTTTCAAGAAATTATCAAGGAAAATTGCCCTGATATTTTAGAACCAGAGGGCAAAATAGAAATGGAAAGAATCCACAGATCTCCTCCTGAAAGAGACCCCCAAAGGAAAACTCCTAGGAATATTGTAGCCAAATTCCAGAATTCCTATGTCAAGGAGAAAATATTGCAAGCAGCCAGAAAGAAACAATTCAAGTATTGTGGAAACACAATCAGGATAAGACAACATTTAGCAGCTTCTACATTAAAAGACTGCAGGGCTTGGAATACAATATTGTGGAGGGCAAAGGAGATAGGATCACAACCAAGAATCACCTACCCAGCAAAACTAAGCATAATCCTTCAGGGGAAAAAAATGGAAATTCAGTGAAATAGAGGACTTTCAAGCATTCTTGATGAAAAGACCAGAGCTGAACAGAAAATTTGACTTTCAGATACAAGACCCAAGAGAAACATGAAGAGGTAAACAGGAAAGAGAAATCATAAGGGACTTATTATGGTTGAACTGTTTACATTCTGCATGGAAAGATGATATTTGTAACTCATGAGTCCTTTGTCAGTATTAGAGTAGTCACAGGGAAAAAAATTATATGTATGGATAGATAGATAGATAGATAGATAGATAGATAGATAGATAGATAGACAGACAGATAAATAGAGGGCACAGGGTGAGTTGAGAATAAAGGGTGATATCTGGAGAATAAAATTAAGGGGTGAGACAGGATTATACTTGGGGGAAGGAGAAAGGGAGAATGGGGTAAATTATCTCACATAAAACAGACAAGAAAAGACTTTTAGAGTGGAGGGGAAATGGGGAGGAGGTAAGAGAGAATGAGTGAATCTTCTCATTGAATTTGGCTTAAGGAGAGAATAACATACACACTCAATTGGGTATGGAAATCTATCTTACCTTACAGAAATTGGGGTGGGGGGGGAAGGTTCAAGAGAGTTGGCTTCAGAGTCAGGAAGATCTGGTTTCAAGCACTGTCTAATGAATACTAGCTGTGTTATCTTAGGCAAATTACTTAGACACTCAGCGTCTAAAATTGTAAATTTTAGAGGAATGCATAGAACAGGTGAGATCACTAAGAATAACGTGTAATAACAGAACAGCACGTAGGGGAGGGGGAAGGAATCTTGCATAAAGATGGATTACAAACGTTAGGAGATCTAGGCTAGAATAGTGCCACAAAAGTCAAGGGAGTCTACAGAAATGAGTGATCAGTCATGTTAAAACAGAATAGTCAAGAAGGATGAAGAAAGATGAAGACAGGAAAAAAAAAGTCTTTGGATTTAATGATTAAGGGATACGTGGCACCCTGTGAGAAAGCAATTGAACAGTTCAAGGTCACAAGGTTCGGCAATCAGGAGGAAGTAGCCATCCCAAAGAAAGGAATGAAGAAAGAAAAAAAAAGTAAGTGCCAAACAGTTCCTTTATATTTTAAAGGAATTTATCTCTCTCTCTCTCTCTCTCTCTCTCTCTCTCTCTCTCTCTCTCTCTCTCTCTCTCTCACACACACACACACACACACACACAACACACACACCACTTGAGTCACCAAATCAATAATTTCTCAATCCTTGCCCTAGGAATTCATGGGGACTTGTTTCCCAAACAATGGGTAGGGGTCAAGCAAAGTATTTGGCAGGTTTTACATAAAGGTGATCTGTGATGATTACTATTTCTGTTCCAGAACTTCGGGATCCTGAGCTAAACGAGGTCCTGTTCTCATTTCCCCCAAGAGGAGAGAAGAGCTAGGAGGGCCTGGGCACTCCACTCCAATGGCAGCTCCTTTGTCCTCTAAACAAAAATCAGGGGACTCCATCCTTAGCCCTGCCCCAACCGGGAGTAAAAGGAAGATGCAAAGTTAAAACTCTGCAAACTGCCCCCTGCAGCCAGCAGCTACCATCGCTCAGAGCGCTTGCTCTGCGCCCCAGCCTTGTCCTTGGAGGAGCGGCATTAAGGTAGAAAAAGCACCAACCCCCTATTCACAGTCAGTCCTTACAGGAGGGAGCCCACACAAACTCCGCGCCAACTCCGGGCAAAGGCATCTAGCTTTGGGCGGGGCTAACAGGGAGTGGGGAGAAATCACTGCAGTACTAGGTGCTCCCAGAGCTCCGAAACGACCTAGGTAGGACGAAGGAAAAAGGACTACATTTCCCGTGAATCTGTGAGGCTACTGCAGTCATTCCCCACCCCTACCTCATCTCCCCACATTAGCCAGTTCCAGGTCAGAGCTGTACTGGAGGTCGGAAAGGCTTTCCGCAAGCTTCATTAGGTAGGCATGCACACTCCCTCCTTACCGCCCAACCCGCCAACCACGCCCCCAGGGGGGCCCGACCTTCCCCACCAAATCTCAGAGCCAATTTCCGGGTTCTGTAAGAAGAAGTAGAAAGGAGGAGCCTGGGGAGGGCGGGGCCTCGGGGCCGGAAGGGGCCATGGTTGCCTAGGGGACGCCTATCAGTGCTGAAAGCTCCTTTGCTAGCCCCCTGTAGATTTTGTGGGCGCTTCGGTTTTCCCGACCCTCTTGACCTGGGTGGATGAATCCCTCCGGCCGCCGGGCAAGTCCTCTTAGATGGGATCGGACAGGACCTGAGAGCTGAGGAGGGGGTCCCTCGTGTCCCAACCAGAGACGCGCAAGGTTCCCTCCCCGCTTCCCCGGTGGTGAATCGCGGGTGAGTGAAAGGGCGAGTCGGAGAGGAGGGGGTCTGCTCCCCCGTCGCCTCCTCCTTTTCTCCTCCTCCTTCTCTTCATCTTTTTCTTCCTCTCCTCTTCTTTCTCTTCTCTTCCTCCTTTCTCCTGTTTCTCTCCTTTTCCCGTCCCTCCTTCCTCCTCCTTCCTCTTCCTTTCTTACTCCTCTTCTTTCTCCTCCTTTTCCTCCTCCTTTTCCTCCTCTTTCTCTTCTTCTCTTCCTCCTCCCCCTTTTCTTCCTCCTCTTTGTTCCTGGTGTTACTCCACCTATCCTTCCCAATCATCTAGGCTTGTGACTGGGAATGTCCCTCTAGACTCTTCGGTCTCTCCCCCAGTATGCAGTCTGTTGCCAAGGTCTGTTGATTTCATCTTCATAGTGTCTGGAATTCATTCTCTTCTCTCCTCTGACACTGCCACTACTGTGATTCAGGCCTTCATCACCTCAGGTGGAAGCCTGCCACTAGTCCTTCCCTCCTTGTTGGAGAGGTAGCCCCATGGCTAGCACCCTCTTAGTTCAAGTTTGTTGTTGGAAAGAAAGGAGGCATTCACAAGTCCCTGAATATATAACAAAGAACATTTACTTTGCCCTAACAATAATATGCAACAAAGATACAGTGGCCCCTACGTTTTCTAGGATGCTTGATGGTCACCCCACATCTCCATCTGGACATGTGTCTGGTCTGTAAGTAATCAGGATATGATAACTCCCTCCTTTTGGACCTCTGGGAGCATCTCTCACTGCAGGATATGCCAACAATCAGTCTCAGGAACCCAAGAAGTTAGAGTAGCCCAGATTCTTCACATCAGGGGCTTTATATGCCCCAAACTAGGAAGCTATATCAGGGAAGCTGAGGCGAATCAGGTTAAGTGGAGGAAGAAAGTTAAATTTAAAAAAATCACACAACATAATTCTGTTATATTACTACAGACCATCCTCTCTACTCAGCTGTCAAAGTGATCTTCCTATAGCAAAGGTCTGACCATGCCACTCCTCTACTCAGTAAACTCCAGTAGCTCCCTATCACCTCCAGGATCAAATAGAAAATCTTCTGTTTGCGTTCATAGCTTGCCCTCCCCACCACCCTTCCAGTTTTCTTTCAATTTACACTCCTGTATATAATTTATTTGTATACATTGTTTGCATATTTTCTCTCCCATTAAACTAAACTCCTTAAGGGCAGAGATTGGCTTTTACATTTCTTTGTATCCCCAATGCTTAAAATAGTGCCAGGGATATAGACATTTAATAAATATTTATAAACTGATGATTACTACTTTGTAAAACAGTTTGAGATTTAGTGCTGATAGGCCTCCTTCCTTGCCATTTTTTAAAAGTAATACTTTTGAGATGCTTGGCCTATTTTTTCCTTCCTTATGAATTTTATTAGTTTTTCTAGCTCTACAAAATATTGTTTGGTAGCTTGATTGGTACTGTACTTGACAAGTAAATCAATTTAGGTAATATTATCATTTTTATTATATTGGCTAGACCCACCCATGGGCAACTTATGTTTTTCCAATTATTCACGTCTGCCTTTATTTCTGCAGAGTTCTGTAGTTGAATTCATATAGTTAGGCTAGCCAAGTACAGACAGGTTCATTATCAGGCCAGTAAGAGATGATTTTTTTTTTCTTTTTGCTATGGCAACTTAGGAAATGAAAAGAAAAAACTAAGAAAAATACAAAATGAAATGTCTCTATCTTGTGTTTTCCCCTTCCACTTATTCAGTGATTTATTTTTATACTGTAAGTGAGCATTCATTTAACTGCTTATACATTAAATGTGATTTCCTTACATGGTAGCGAATAAATTAACCTACTATTGCCAAAAAACCCAAAAATTAATCCTATTATTATTATTATTGTTGTTGTTGTTGTTATTGTTGATATGTCAGGTATTCTTAAAAGTCCATGAACTTTTAAAAAAAAATTTATTTATTTTTAGTTATCAATATTCACTTCCATGAGCTTTTGAGTTTTCAATTTTCTCCCTCTTCCTCCTTTGCCTCCTTCCCAAATCTTGTATAAATTCATGTTAAACATATTTTCATATTAGTCATGTTGTAAAGAAATGTTAGAACCAATGGGAGGAACCCTGAGAAAGAAGAAACAAAACAAAACAACAAAAGAAAAAAATAAATCAAATAGTATGCTTCAATCTACTTTCAGACTTCATAGTTCTTTGGATATGGGCAGCATTTTCCATTATGAGTCTTTTGTTGTTGTCTTAGATCCTTGCATTGCTGAGAAGAGCCAAGTATATGAAAGTTAGTCATTGCACAATGATGCTGTTACTGTGTACAATGTTCTCCTGGCTCTGCTCCTTTCACTCAACATCAGTTCGTGTAAGTCTTTTGAGGTTTTTTTGAAGTCCACCTGCTCATCATTTCTTATGGAACAATAGCATTCCATTACATTCATATACCGCAACTTGTTCAGCCATTCCCTAATTGGTGGGCATCTTCTCAATTTCCAATTCTTGGCCACCACAAAAAGGGCTGCTATAAATATTTTCATACGTGTGGGTACTTTTCCCATTTGTATGATCTTTTTGGGATTCAGACCTAGAAGTAGTACTGCTGGGTCAAAGAGTATGCATAGTTTTATGGCCCTTTGGGCATAGTTCCAAATTGCTCTCCAAATGGTTGGATCGTTTCACAACTCCACCAACAATGCAAATGTTCCAGTCTTCCCACATCTTCTCCAACATTTATCATTTTCCTGTTTTGTCATGTTAGCCAATCTGATAGGTATGATATGGTACTTCAAAGTTGTTTTGATTTGCATTTCTCTAATCAGTAGTGATTTAGAGCATTTTTTCAATTTCTTCTTCTGAAAACTGCCTATTCATGTCCTTTGACTGTTTGTCAATTGGGGAATGACTTGTATTCTTATAAATTTGACTCAGTTCTCTTTACATTTTAGAAATGAGGCCTTTATCAGAGACACTGGCTGTAAAAATTCTTTCCCAGCTTTCTGCTTCCCTTCTAATCCTGGTTGCATTGGCTTTGTTTGTGCAAAAACTTTTCAATTTAATGTAATCAAAATAATCCATTTTGCGTTTCATAATGTTCTCTGTCTCTTGTTTGGTCATAAATTCTTCCCTTCTCCGTAAGTCTGACAGGTAAACTGTTCCTTGCTAGTTTGCTTATAGTATCAGCCTTTATATCTAAATCATGTACCCATTTTAACTTTATCTTGGTATAGGGTGTAAAATGTTGGTCTATGTCTAGTTTCTGCCATACTATTTTCCAGTTTTCCCAGTAGTTTTTGTCAAATAGTGAGTTCTTATCCCAGAAGCTGGGGTCTTTGGATGTATCATATAGTAGATAACTATAGTCATTGACTACTGTGTCTTGCATACCTAACCTATTCCACTGATCCACCACTCTATTTCTTGGCCAGTACCAAGTAGTTTTGATGATTACTGCTTCATAATACAATTTAAGATCTGGTACAGCTAGTCCACCTTCCCTTGCATTTCTTTTCATTAATTTCTTTGATATTCTGGACATTTTGTTCTTCCAGATGAATTTTGTTATTATTTTTTCTAGCTCTGTAAAATAATTTTTGGTAGTTCAATTGGCATGGCACTGAATAAGTAAATTAACTTAGGTCATGAACTTTTAAAAAGATATATTTTGAGAATTATATTTCAATGTGATTCATTTCCTTTGTAATCCTATATATTTTATTTTATGCATTTAAAAAATCATGCTGAAGAGGAGTACATAGGCTTCACCAGATTGCTAGAAAGGTCTATGATACAAAAAAATGTTTAAAACCAATGCTCCAAATGAAACCAGAACATATAAAATATTGTACTTAACTAGAAAGAAGGCTTCAAGTTCTCTTTGGAAAGTCAAATAAAGGAATTGGTGTGGTTGATTTTGTTATGTATCCAAAGGCAAAAAGATATAATTTCATGGTTTACTTGATTATTTCATCTTGCAGTAATCATTATAAAAAAGATTACCATGGAGAAAAGTTTATGTGCAATGTCTGTGGCAGAGGATGAGAAAATTCTCCAAAGAATTGGATAGGAGCACCCAAATTAAATCAACATATACTTCAGTTTTCAGTGACTTCAATGTAAAAGTGGTCATAAAGAAGGATTATAAATGTAATTTTCAAAAATATAACAGGATCAAGAAATGGCTTATAGACTACATAAGAGTATCAGACTTTTCTGATATGTTGATTAATTTTGTGGAGCACTTTTTTTCCTTCTTTCTCTTTTTCATTATTTTAAGAGATGGATTTCTGGGAAGGGGTCAAAGAGACAATCAGTGGAGGAATATAAGTGATGTAAAAAAAATATACCAATAAAATTTTATTTTAAAAATTAATATGGTTTATATTTGTAAATTTATGTTGTTCTTAGAAGATTAAATGTTTGCTGGCTTAGACTGTTTCTAGACTCTTTTGGCCTCCTCTGCATGGCAGTTTTCATGCAAAATACAGGCAGAGATTACTTCTGAGGTAGAACCAAGAAGGCAGATTAGCAGGAAGGAGTACAGTGAGCTCCTTTGCCAAACTCCTCCAAAATGATCTAGAAAATGCATCAGCCAAATCACATTGGGAAATCCAAGAAAAAAAATCATAGTGAGTCATTTGTTCAGCCCAAGTCAACAGAGAGATTTGTGGACACTGGTGTCAAGGTCTGGCCAGGAGTGGGTTCTTCTGAGCATTTCAGTGCATGGGCACTATGTCTAACTTCAAGAAGTGACCCTAACACCTATACCATGTAGTGACCTTGTATGGTGATCTGGGAACAGGTTTGTTGTTCAGTACCAGTTCTGAGTCGCAAATCCAGAGTAGCCTGAGGAAGGAACCTATGGCGGGAGAAGAGTGTCAATGTTACCTTTTAATACAATTTGAAGCCTATAGAGGGAATAACCAGGACAGGAATGCTAGACTTTAAAGAAGCCTCTAGTTCTGTCACTGAACCAGCAGAGCTTTCCTGCTGGCTGACAGTGACTTAGTCCAGCAACAATGAATTGTTGCTCATACTCAGATTCAAATCAGAAAATAGGAGTGCAGAAGGGAGTGGAGGGTGGGGTAACCATCAGACTTTACCTTGCACTTTGAGGGCACTGAAATTTAGGAGTCTAAAATAACACAATTCTCACTAGTCTCAAGAGAGCAACATTCTTATGACTTAATAAAGTCCAGACTTTCCATATGGTAGTGTGCAGAACCTGGCCCTCATATGGAATCTGAAGTCAGAATGTAGGCTGGAAGAATGAGCAAAAAAAAAAAGTCCTGTCATAAAAAAAACTATTATGGTGACAGGGACACTGAATACATGAACCCAGAAGAAAAGAATGACTCCAAAACATCTACAAGCAAAGCCTCAAAGAAAAATACAGCTTGGGCACAAATTCAACTAGAATTCTTAGAAGAAATGAAGCAAGAGTTTTTTTTTAAAAAGAAGTAAATGTTTTTATAAATTAAATGAAATCGAATGCCACCTTTTCAGAAAGCTTCAGAGTTTTTAGAGGAAAAACTGGGAAAGAAATGAGAGCTATGGAAAAAAGAATTGGAAAGTGAATTAGCAATTTAGTACAAAAGGTATAAAACCTTGCCAAAGCAGCATACTCCCTGAAAATGAGACTGGATCAAGGAGAAACCAATTAGACAACAAAGACTACACCAAAGTCAAAAGACTGAAACATTAGAACAAAATGTGAAGTATCTTGTAGCAAAAACAATTGACTTAAAAAACAGATCAATGAGGAAAAGAAAATGTGACTCATTGAACTATATTGCCAAAACCAAAATAAAGAGCCTAAACATCATATATAAAGAAATCTTAAAAGAAAATTGTTCAAGACTCTTAGAACCACAGGGCAAAGTGGAAATTGAAAGAATCTACCAGTCATCTTCTAAAAGAAACCTCAGGGATATAGCTAAAATCTAAAGCTTCCAGGTTGACAAAAAAATACTGCAAGCAGTCAGAAAGAAAGAATTCAAATATAAAGATAATCAAAATCACACATGATTTAGCAGCTACCCTTTAAAGTAGTGAAGAGTTTAGAATATGATACTCTAGAAGGTAGATGATATAATCTTACCCAGCAAAACTGAATATAATCTCAGGGGAAATGGGCCTGACAAAAAGACTAGAGCTGAATAGAAACTTTGAAGTTCAAACACAAAGGAATTAAGAGAAACATAAAAAAGTAAACACAAATGAAAAATTATAGGGAATTTAACAGGGATTAACTGCTTACATTCTAAAATGGAGAGATGATGTATGTATGTATCCCTTTTGAAACCTGGGGCAGCTAGGTGGTGCAGTGGACAGAGCACCGGCCCTGAAGTCAGGAAGGCTCCTCTTTCTGTTGTGACCCTGGGCAAGTCACTTAACCCTCAGGAAGACTCATCTTCCTGAGTTTAAATTTGGCCTCAGACACTTATTAGCTGTGTGACCCTGGGGAAGCCACTTAACCTTGATTGCCTCAGTTTCTTCATCTGTAAAATGAGTTGGAGAAGGAAATGGTACTCCAGTATCTCTGCCAAGAAAACCCTGAATGGAGTCACAACGAGTTGGACATGACTGAGAAACGACTTAACACAACACAACTTTGAATACTGTCATCAACAGTAGTCATAGAGCAAGTCTAATTGGACAGAAATCCTGGAAGTGGTTCCTTTGTGTCTCATGTCTGATGATCTTAAAAGAAGAATGGAAAGGGAGGGGAAGAGGAATACACAAGAGAAAGTGAAGAGAAGGAAAAGCTAGGAAAAATTATTTCACAAAAATGAGATGCATAGTTAGAAGTCTGTACAAAAAGGGAAGCAGTTGGGGGTGCAGTTAACACTTGAACCTCATTCTCATATGAACTAGTCAAAGGGGAAGAATACATGTACTTTCATACACACAATTGGGTAGAGAACTACATTTCAATCAACAGGGAAATTTGAGGGAAAAAGAAGGGAGAGAGGGAATTAGAGGGAGAATAGGGAGAAAGTAGTGCTAAGCAATACACACACTAAGGATATTTTAAAATACTTGTAGCTCTTTGTGAAGTGACAACAGAAATCTGATGGGCCGCCCACCATCAATTTTGGGATAGGCAAGTTATGGTATAGCATATGAATATGATGGGATACTACTGTACTATAAGAAATTTAGCCAAATTTGGAATTTGAAATATAATTGAATGGTCATTTTTCATCTTACAGTTTTCTCTCTCCCTGGCTTGAAAGAAGAAACTTGAATAGCATGTGCACAGTGAAGAAACATGAGCTAGTATACTATACTATATCTAAATTATCCCAAATGAATACATCTAAGTATTTTGTACTTTAATACCCCCAAATAGAAAGAAGTTACATGGTCTTCATCTCTTGGTAAAAATTTGCTAACAATTCTAGGCAGGATATTTCCCCTTATATCTAACCTAAACCTGTTTTGTTTACTTTGGTTTTCAGTAAAAGTGAAGAATATCTGATACTATCTGATAAAGAAAAGGTTAATTCACTTCCCTGCCCTTTGCTTTCTAAACTAATTAAATCTGTTTTGTGAGTGACTTATTATCCTATTAAATATCAATACAACCCAAAATTGCTTTAGAACTCTTTGTGCAGTGAATTCCAATTTGTAAAATAATGTTAGGACTTTTCATTTACTCTTTATAAGTAGTCATTGTATGTCCATTCATGTGTCCATTCTTGCTTATTCTTGTTTCCTTTAAGTGGTCAGAGTGTGCTTTGTTCCTTTAGATTTGTTTTTTTCACCATACATTATTTCATAAAGATTTTGCCTTAATTTTTATATTCAGTTCCCTCATTTAATGTTTAGCTTGCTTCCAGTTTTATTTGAATTTTTGTTTTCGCAGTTGAAAAAATGTTGCTGTAAGACTCTTTAAACAGAGTTTGTTGTTTCTTGTTGATTATATTCTCAGAGTATATTCCCAAAAATAGAATTATTGATACAGAAGGTATTTTTTTTTGCTACTTTCATTGTATATTGCAATATTTTAAAAAGCTACCCATTTGAGGGTCTACCATCAATGTGTGAACATACTTCTATATCCACAATCCCACTAGAATGGTGTTTTGTTGTTTTTAATTATTTCTAACAACTTGATGGAGGTGAGGTAATTCCTCAAATTTGTTTTAATTTTTATCTCTGGTTATTAGTGAGGTTGAACATTTTTTCAAGTGATGATTATGTTTCAGTTATCCTATTTTTTATAGGTTCTAAATCCTAACTCTTTAATTGTTGTCATTGTTAACTGATATAGCCTCTTCAAATTTATAATTTAAATTAACGAACCCTAAAAGCAGCATTGTCCTGAATCTGATCCATGCTGTTGTCTAATATACCATGTCTGAAATGAAACCTGTCTAGCAACTCCAAGGGTATTCATTATCCTGTGTGCCCAGGTTTATAAGCAGTCAATCTGCTTTGCAGACAAGACTTCTTTGCTGTAATCAGCTTATATTCTGTTTAGTGATTACAACTTGTAGTGACATTGCCTTTTCCATCGTCTCTCCAGTCTTCATATTCTTGACCCACATATGTACCGTGTATACTTGGAGTGCCTTTTATAATAGTTTTGTGTTCTTTTGTGCACTCTTAGCTGGTTTGTGAAAATTTGAATCATCGTTATGGGATTGCTGGACAAGCTGTCAGGCTTGCTTGGCCTGAAGAAGAAGGAAGTTCATGTTCTGTGCCTTGGGCTGGATAACAGTGGCAAAACAACCATCATTAACAAACTCAAACCTTCGAATGTAAGTAGCTTTCTAAGTTACTTTACCACTTGTCTATAATTCAGTAAAGTTAGCTTGTGTAACTGTGAACTCTATTTTGTTTGATGGCATAACTCCAAAACCCAAAGAATCTGTCCTTTCCTATTCATTTTTTTAGGAAACTGATTCCCATCATAGTTAAACAATTTGCCAAAGTTTCTACTGCTTTACAATAACAAAGCCACAATTATAATATGCATCTCCTAACTCTTAGACTAATGCTCTTTTCTCTGTCATACAACCTTGTCGTAAGTGAATGACAACTCTACAGAGACATGAAGTAACACTATTTTTATCACTGTACTATTGCTTAAACATTTTTATATATAGCCAACTCTCAATTATTTGTGTGAAAAAAGATTTTTAAATGGCCAAATTTAACTTCAACCATTACTTTTAAGCATTTCTTTGTAATTTCCTAAATTTATTTATTTGTTTCTTCTTTTCTTCCTCCCATTATCTTCTTACTGAAGGACCAAATTTAGTAGGAGAGTGCCTAAATAGTCAGCAACATAATGAAGTTCTATGAATAATGCACTCCTAGTCATTAAAAATGGATTCTATATACATGCACAAATCTTTAGATTGGAGAAAATGAATGTTATGGTTTTTATGAGAGGAGATTGCTCTACAGCTGAATGCCATCCATTCCTCTCTTCCTGATGACATTCCTTCTTCCTACATTGGCCAGATTTACAATGTAAAGAAATCAGTTACCGCCTGGCTTTGCCAACAGAGGATTGACGGTGATGGTTAATGTCATGGCTAGAGAGCCAAGAACTAGAAATTTGGAGTTGGGATTGAGAACAAGAAGGCCCACACTGTCCCAATTTATATATCAGTGAACAGGGTTACTAACTTGATTATCAGTAGCAGCCAGGGCTTTTTACTAGAATTGATAAAATAAGATATGATATATATGACTAACTTAACAGTTGAAGGGAGACGATCACAACCAGCCAGCTAGGGCTGGACCTGTAGTTTGGTTGAAGAGCAAGGAAAAGCATCTGGGGTTTGACCTCACTCCAGGCTTTGAGCCCTAGACCAAGAGATTTTAGTGGTTGACACATATCCATTCTTACCTATACCTCCATTCTCTATTACCATTATCCTAATAACCTCTGTAGAGGAATAGCATTATAGGCGAATGATCAGATGGAATTGGGTCGAATAAGATGGGAGCAGTCAGGGCATACTAGTTCTTTTTTTTTTCTAATACAAATTCACAATTGACAAAAATAATGATTTATTTTTACTAATGTTTGTGATTTAACATATGTGAAGGATATTATATTTTATTTGCTTGTTGTTTGTTTGTTTGTTTTGCTAGGCAACAGGGTTAAGTGACTTGCGCAGGGTCACACAGCTAGTGAGTGTCATGTGTCTGAGGTCAGGTTTGAACTCAGGTCCTCCTGACTCCAGGGCCAGTGTTCTATCCACTGCGCCACCTAGCTGTCCCTGGATATTATAAAAATAATACTGGAAAATGGATAGATCTTGTTAAATATCTATTTTATGAGACATTAGAGTAGGATCTTCATGAAAATTGTATTACTGTATCAGTGTAATTTTATTGAATTTAATAGAGTTTGATGTGATTTTCTAACCTGACTAAAAATGATGCTAAACCCATTAAAAGCCATGATAAGTAAAACATGGTACCAGGACAGCACTATTCTTCAACAAATTTTTATTGCATACCTAAGTGCCACTTTCCTAACAGTCAAATGTAGTATCAGTCACTAGAATCCTAAGGTTTTACCTCTTCTGCCTTTGATTTAAGTCGTTATTGGTCAAATTACAGGATCACTTTAATTGATATAATCACAAAATCAATGACTCCTGAGGTCTTGACAAGCCCTGGGTTAACCTTGAGTCCAGATATGCTTGGCATATATTTTCTTTATTGAATGCAGAATGGTTCTAGGAGATTATATTTGACCTTCATCCTAGTACATATTAGCATGACTTTTGTAGTTAGGATGAGAAACATCTGATGCTCACCCAGTTTCCCAAGTCCTTCAGAACTAGTGGATCTTTTTTTTTTTCCAGCCAGAATTATAAACAGTCTCCTAGGGCTATTAAATGGCACAAAAATTCATAGACACAGTCCGGTCCCCATTTTGTCTGCTGTTTAAGTATCATTTATCACTGTCTGCTAGTCATTCAGTTTTACTGAACTACTATTTTTAAATTAGTGCTATGTATTTTTAGGTCATCTCATCATAACCATGTTGTGTGGATCCTAGACTTTTGCATTCAAGTAGACATTTACATTTTGCTATCATTTTTCTTTTAGTCTGTGTTTTCCTTCTCTAGTGTGGAGATTATTTCCAGTGATATAACAGCAGACTATTAGATAATCTCTCTGGCACAATTTATGTTGATACTAGTATCATACCTTTGACCCCATTAAAGTGAGATCCAGGAGAAAGAAGGAAACACAAGTTTTTAAAAATAAACTTAAAATTGTCTTTGCTTTACAAAAATCTAAAAACTGAGAATGAGGTTAATCATGGCTTATAGTTAAAACCATCTGAGTCCAAAATGAATGTTTTTTACTTTCTAACTACATTAGTACTGGCTAGTATGCATGATTTCTTCACTGATATAAATCAAAACCCGTCTATTCCTTTCAAGAGTTGTGGGCAAAAAATTCATCCTCCTGCATTTGATATGGTGATAAGCCTCTCTGAATATAACCTGGCTGGTGCTTTGTATTTCTAGCATCTTAGCAGTGATGGAGTTGGGAAAGGAAAAACCCTGAAGTTTCCCACAAAGCCACATCTCTGGTGGTCTCCTGAGGCTGTAATCCTATCAACTGGCCTCTCATTGTGGCTACACCCAGTTTCCCCTCTTGTCTTGCCTCCCTGTGTCCCCAGGCCACTTCCCACCCTTGGTAATTCTATTACTCTTGGACTACTTGGCCACTCCTAGATCCCTCCCACAGTCTTTCTGTATATAAGGTCCATCTTGTCTCCATTAAGATGCTGGGATTTTTATAATCTAGCCACTGCTCAGATTCTTAAAATCTGGCCAATAGCTTACTAATGTTCAGACTTCTTAAAGAGTCTGCCCAATAAGCTAATAAACCTTGTCTTTGGGCTGAAAGAAGGCTTGGGTCGAATTCTTTCAAGCAGGGGTTGCATGTTGTGATTTTGGGGTCCCAGCACCCCTAAACCCCTAAACCACATCAGCAGGACTTTCTAAGATTTTCACTGTGCTTAACATGGCATTCAAGAATCAAGGCCTACCTCTGTGGTACAAGGAATCATCAAAGGAATGCTCTAATGGAGGATATTTATAACAGAAAATTTTTATAGGGTCCCAAAAGTGCTTAGAATTAACTTCCCTTTCCCCCAAAAGGTAAAAACTTCATTTAATTAAATGTTTTCAAACATAAAAATGTTGTCGTAATATAAACATGAATAGTACTTGGGGGTTTGGAGTTGTTTATCTGAAGAAGAGTCCTTCCCTTTGGCCCCCAACCTTATTTGGGTAGAGCCACTCTTCCCCCAGGTTTTCCATTCAGGCTTTCCTATAGTCCTCTTCTTTTTTTCTCCTTCTTTGAGATATTTGTATAGGACCTCTTTAAGCTGCTTTGAAAAACTATGGGGAAGGGAGTTGCTGAAGGCTACTTGCCTCTGAGTGGGATAGAGACCACTTACTCAAAATAAAATTCAGAGGCTTCTCTAGGTAGGAACAGAAGTTTTATTTAGCAAGTCTTGTACAAGAATTGGGCATCACCTACCCAGGGCGGACTGGAGTAGGGAGGCAGGCTACAACCATCAAGCAAGCAGTTATATACCCCTAGACAAACAACTCTAAGAAAACCCCACCACCACCTGTTTACCTCTATCTCTTTATCCTCATTGGTTGAGGTGAGAGATACTTTTTACCCAAAACAAGCTTGGCATCTAGAAGATTGACTTATTTGGCAAAGATAAGGCTGGGTTGGTGGTCACAAAACAAGGGAGGGGGTGGGCAACTTGTCCAACACACCTCCGAGGTAATAGACTCTGATTTTCTGATTACTTATCTTTCCTCTCTCCTGAAAGAGTACTTTGATTCAGATTCATTTAATCTTATCCCTGCTTTTGGGGAACTGTAATAGTAGATATTAGTAAAAATGACTTTGTTTCATCTCAAGCCCCCAGCTAGTGATCCTAACAAATTAAAGAATCTCCTTCCCTCTCTCTGTAGCCTCTTTTGAGCAAACAAAATATTTACAGAGCAGTGATGCATTGGGTTAAACAGTTTTACTTCAGTGCTTTCTTTTAGAGACTAGGTAGACAGAAATGCAAAATAAATTGTAGTGTAAACAGATGAGTTTTTGTTAGTAGTCCACCCTTTAGTGCTACTTTTGATGCAGTTTGGGGTTGCTGGGAATCCCAAAATGTCAAGGTACAGGGTGGTGTCCCCCGGGAATGAATTCATGCACTCAAACCATCTTCCAGTCAGGCAGAATTTATTGTAACACTTATAGGAGCAGGCAGATTCTTAGAGAATCTGAGCCTTCATGGGCATATACTTATGTACAAAAAAGGACATGAGAAGATCTGGATAGGATTAAGGAGTGGTAAGTAGCCTAGGGTGGGCCAGGGGCTGAAGTGAAAGGGTCTAGATGAGATGAAGGAATAGTCAGTATATGTAGGTAATCTGGAGTGGGACAAGGCAGTGAAAGAAATGTCAAGTAAATTAATTAAGTGATCTAGGTGGGTTGGGGTAGGCTTGGGCAAGAGCCAGTGATCTGGGCTACTGAAATGGAAACTCAGGAAACTGAGACCCACCCAGAGAGGTTAAGGATTTGTTGAAGGTCACATTGATATTAAGTAGGAGCACTTGTTGGATTCATGGTACATCCAAGATTATAGAATGGCTACTCAAGTCACATTATAACCTTAAATGTCTACATTGAATATCAAAAGTGTCCCATTACCTTTTTGTTGGCAAATAAGTAAAATGTTTTAGGTCATTAATGT